AATATTCTTCCTATATTCGGTCTTATGATGCGTACTGTGATAATTAAAAGAGCCACTTTCTTTCTAAGCAGTTCTATATCTGTACACATTGCTTTCCTCGCTGAACACAAAGTCTCCTTTTCTCAAAAACAGACAGATTTAATATTTTTTGGATAAATTTTAAATTAAGTTTTCAACATCTTAAAATATCAAAACATAAAAAAATATGAACTGAAAAATAAAATAAAATCAGTTTTATAATATTTCCAAAAATGTAGTTATCCAACAATCTGAAATCGAGGCCATAGTTAGCAGCTATTATGCATTTACATGTTTTCGGTTCTGGTCTGTGAAAAAACAGTTCCTAGTTTTTTTTAAATGTTGGCAACTTTGTTAAATAATGCGATGACTTGGCTAACTTCCATGTCTCCTTGATCTCTCTCTATTTAAAGTTGAATACGTTTATATAGCACTATCGTAATATGCAACCTTTCAATAAAAAGTTCCTCAAAAAAAAAAAAAAAAGTTTTCCAGCTGTATTGTCATCTGATGTAACATCGAGCACAGTCTTATTCTTATAAACCAGGTGTCACGGTGGCGGTCCAGGACCCAGACACTGTCCGGGTGGCGGTGCGTGTACCGGGACCCATATATGCCTGATGTTCAGAGTAGGAGTCACAGTGTGGAGGTGGATTAGCAGGGTCTGGTGCAGGGTAACCGCACGCCCCCTGGTGTTGAGCACCATCGTTTGTGCAGCCACATACCAGAACCCTGATTCAGCTTATGCGGATCCCAGGAACTAGAAGCAGGTAATTAAGCAGACCTCCCAGGAGCTGAATAGGCTCTGCAGCAGGGATGTATCCAGTACAGAAACAAGGCAAGACTAGAGATAGGCACCATGCACGAAAACAAGACAAAACTAGGAAAACAGGGCAAGACTAGAAATAGGCACCATACATGAAAACAAGACAAAACTAGGAAAACCCAGAACCAGAGCAGGACAGAAAGCATAACCTAGAACATGTACACAAGACATGAGGAAAACAAGAACATAACATGGGCATGACTGGACAGGACTGTGCATGGACTGGGATTACAAGACAAAATAAAACAAGACAAGAGATACAAGGTAAAACAAGAGGAAACATAGCTAAGCACTAATTATGAAAAGTATGGGGATTTAGTTACATTATATGATCATACATTGCACAAGCCTGCCAACAACACCAATGTACCCCATATCTGGCAGGTCCTACACTGCCTAATGTATGCTAAAACAGCCACACTAAACCACAATAGCACTTACCTGCAGGAAAGTGCAGAGACATGAAACACTGCTGCAGGTCCAAGATGAAACAAAGGAAAGTGGAAAACAAACGGGTGTGGCAACATAAAACAAACATTTAAATGAATCCAAGAGACTGGGAAATCCAGGGACAGAATATAAGAATGAACCCAGCAACAAAGAAAACCAGACATAGACCACAAAAACAGAAAAAACAAGCAAGGACAGCAAAAAGAGTACTGGATACCAGAAGCCATTGCCAGAATGATCCGCAGCGAGGAACAGGATGTGACACCAGGTCAATCCACCCATTTCAGAGAAAGGAGACACAGTGGACATTCAGGAGCCCATGATTGTATAAAGCTGAGTAGTGAATTGGAGCTTGCTTTGATGGACTATGCATTGTCAGATGTTATGAGA